ACGAGGGGGGGTAATACCTGCCGCCCCCCCCCCCCGTCACAGCTCTCTGCAGTGACAGGATCGAGAGGTGAGCGAACGACTGTATGTGTTCCCTCACCTCCCGATCTACTGAGCCGACCTGCGACAGTCTCATTGTCACAGGTTGGCTCAGATAATGAGGCTGAGTGAAAAGCAATCACCTCATAGTTCTCCTTTTTAAGTTTGAAGCAGCTTACAAATAAGCAAAAATTAAATCCTCAAGCCATAATACATTCAGTCACAATGACTGATATAATTAAATAAAATAAATGTGTAATACAAATATATTTCAATATATCATATCAAAATTAACCCATTACAATGAAAATCTGCAGCTGAGCTGCAAATTTGTCTTTCACCCTAAGGGATTCATATTTTTTTTATTTAACTCCTTCATAACAGTGATGTTCAAAGTATGTTGCTGTCACTTAAGTGTGAGTCTTAGTGACATTGTATGCCAGATGGCCGCTTTCAGAGGAAAAAAAAGATTAAAATGTTAGGTTTTAGTTTTAGGCTGATAAGTGTCTAAAATCCTAGGGATGTGAGGATTTTCCAAATAAATGAATGGATTTAACATATTTTTGTTTGTGTGTGCAAGTTTTATTTATGTGTGCAAGTAAGGTTGTGTGTGTGTGTCTGTGTCTGTGTCCACAAACACACAGGCACCTCAAGGCAAGTCATGTCACTCTACTGCTCCCCACTCCAAGCTAGTAGATGGAACGCTGATGGAGTCTGCTCTGTCCTTGTGATCTTGTACTGGACAGGAAGTTCAGGGAAGTGGAGCTGAAGTTGGAACTAGCTGTTTTGAAAGTGGATGACTGAATGTGTGGGCAGAAATAGAAAGTAATACTTTGCTGGCTAATGTATATTTGTTTGACCTGGAATCATTACTGAAAAAGTCTGAGTTTCATACCAATTAAATAAAGCTGAAAAAGACTGCTCTGCGGGTAATGAATTCATCTTCTTAATTCCCTCAACTCTTGTCCAGAGGAAAGCAAAATACAACCCCCCCCTCCAATCTGGATATCGGTGACCAATTTAGCCACATGAGAGAAACATAAAATCCTTCCTGATGCCACAGGACAACCATATCAATTCGCATATTTCTCTGTCTTCAGTCATTATAACTCTGCATATTAGTTTGAAGGAAACTATCTTAGGTTTTTTTTGTTAATTGTTTTTGTCATCACCATCCAATTTATGAAATAATTCCACTGCTGAACCACTCCTAGTGTAAAGAATCCCTTCCCAAACTGCTAGTCTAAAGCAGAACTCCATCAATTTACAAAATTAACCTTTGCAGTGGGGCTACCCCAGCACTGCAAGAGTTAACTGCTCGTTTAAAAAAATCCTCAATCCCACCTCGTACTAGACTGGTACCTGCAGCCTCTTCTCCCCGGTCTAATCCCCACTGACGTCACTGCATCTAATACAGGTCCAGCCACCTGCATTAGATGTGAGGATGGTCAGGGACATGCCACCGCTGGAGTGGAGGGGGAGAAAAGTGCTCTACACCGCAGGACTGAATATTAGGTGAGTAGATCTTCTGAATGCTGGTCCCAAGACCAAAATGAGCAGTTAACCCTTGCAGTGAGTGTAACCCTACTCAAAGAGTTAATGTTTACAGTAACTAGAGTACCTCTTTAACCCCTTCATGACTGAGCTTGTTTTTAGTTTCTGTTTGTTAATGACTGGCACACTGGGTATTACTGCGGGGTGATTCTTCCACAGCAGTAATATATTTTCTTACTAAGTGCACGCACACATATATATGTGTGGGTGCACTACATGCAATATAAATATATAGACATAATGCCTCACTTAGGACAAATAAAATATTAAAATTGAGGAAAAAATGTAACGAAAAACACTTTTGCCCCAGTTTTGATTTAGAGTATTTTTTAGAACAATACCAGGCAAGCAGGGCTAAATGTAGAGCAGGGGAGCTGCCCTTCGTTATGTATATGTGAACCACCCAGATGACTTGTAGCAGCCTGCTTATCGCCCCACCTCTCTGCTGTGGTTTTTGAGGTCCCTCACTCTCCTGGGGGACCCGTGACCATGGCAAATTACTTCAGGATGGGGAGCAAAGCGGAGAACATCCATTCGCTGATCTGCGTGATCAGTGAGACAGGAGTGCTGTAATCACAGCGCTTCCTGTCTCAGCTGTCACAAGTGGAACCGCACAGGAGATCGAGCACAATGTTGCTAGTCTAATTATGGAGGCATCTGGGTCTAATAGACCCCAGCTGTCTCCATAAAGACAACCTGTCACCTCCAAACGCTATCACGTAGGGGCTTGTGTGATAGCATTAAAGTTAAGTGAACAAAAACAAACCCACTGGCCCCACCATCTGCAAGCAAATAAACACACATGTAGGGCATTGTGTGCGTACGTGCTGAGTGCTGCCCCCATTCCACTGTGTGCCATATTGTTGTAGCCAGACAGCAGAGCTCT